TGGGGAGTGTAGCTGTTTTACTCTAACAAGAATAAAGAATATCTGACCCTGCTTAATAATATTTTTATACTTATTATTTCATGCATTTGACAATAAATTTTGAATATAAGTTTTATAGGTGAGAAAACTGAAGCTGAAAGAAATTAAATAGTTAATTCAAATATTTACGGTATATAAAATTAGAGCCAGGCCTGAAAATAGAGTATTTTTCTTCAAATGGTTATGTTCTTTCCACTTCATTCTGCTGATCTCTCAAGACTTCTGCCTAATATTTTAAGTAACTAAGTTTGCAAATATAGATTATCTATTACTGAGAAGGCTGACGGTATAAGGCAGTATTTTTGAGACTACAATTTGAAATAAAAATAAGATATTTGTATTTACTGAGTAAAAGTAAAAGTGACCATTGGCAATTACAGGGTAACTTCATTTTGGATTATCTTGCATTTCACCATAAATTTCCTCAAAAATGTAGTTGAATCTTTGTAAGACTAAACCATAATGGGCTATTTGAGAAATTAATATATTTGAATACAGCCCTAACTTTTGAAATTAACATAAAGGAGAATGTGTCCTATGAAAAACTCACCACTTGGTACAAGTGAAACACTAAACAGCAGGTGTAACTGTCCACCCAGGTAAGACTTCACCCAGTTACAACATCACACACTACCCATTTCATGCTTTCATTCATAAAGACATTATGGGAAATGTTCATTATGGTCATTTATATCAATATGTGTTTGGAGGTTGTGATGTGAAGGAGTAAAAGGAGTGCTTTTGTTTCTTTGTGGGTATCTCATCAGAGGGTTCATAAAAATAGGGGTGTTCAGGTTGTTATTTCAAAGTGAGCCAGAGAACACTCTGATGAGTGGGCAGTGAGGGCATCAGTAAGAGATTTTCATTAACAATAAGCTGTATTAAGGCATGAGAATAAAATGGGAAACCATCAGTCATTAGGTATTGTTGGATTGTGCGCTATGTGGATGTGGATGACAGACTGTAGGGAAAGGAGCTGATGGAAGTGGAGATGACTGGTGAAGCATGGTGTATTAGTTCACATCCTAGAGGATTTTAAATGGTAGGATTGATGATTTGATGAGTCTTTTTCTTTTGTTGAATTATTGAGCTGCCAGATGGCTACATTCTCCTTACCCATTTAATCCTCTGAAATCTCTCATTCCATTAATCCATGATCTATGCTCTAGATTCCCTCTTTGACTCTCATCCACTAGTTGCTTCTTTCTGTTCTGTAAGGATTTCTAAAGGCAAATTTTAATTTCTTTACCCTGGGTTCAGACACTCACATACAATATCACCAACAACCTTTGTATATTCTCATAAAATAAATGGCAATATGATTACTTGGTGCTACCTCTTTTACTCTATCACCAAGGGGTTTTAGTTACTTTCCAAAAATATTTCTAAAACAGGATCCTGAAAACTTAGATATCCATTTTCTCATATGGTCAACTTGGAACTTATATAAAAAAGACCCAGACTTCAAAGGCTGATGAATTTTATAGATGCTTATTATCTCTGATACTCATTTTATTTATAGTGACTAGTCAATTTAAAAAACCTTAAATTTCCCATAAAGAAATTTGTTCAATTAGGTGTTAAATCTACTTAGCTCTAAATGGGTAAGGTGAAACACCACATCCAAAAAGCAGTGTTATAGAATATATTTAAAACTTGAACCGGCCGGTCACGGTGGCTCACGCCTGTAATCCCAGCACTTTGGGAGGCTGAGGCAGGCAGATCATGAGGTCAGGAGATCGAGACCATCCTGGCTAACACAGTGAAACCCTGTCTCTACTAAAAATATATATAAAAAAAAAATTAGCCAGGCGTGGTAGTGGGCTCCTGTAGTCCCAGCTACTTGGGAGGCCGAAGCAGGAGAATGGCCTGAACCCAGGAGTCGGAGCTTCCAGTGAGCCGAGATGGCGAGTGCCACTGCATTCCAGCCTGGGCGACAGAGCTAGAGAGCGAGACTCTGTCTCAGAAAAACAAACAAACAAAAAACAGCAAAAAACAACAACAAAAAAAACTTGAACCTTGCCCTAGAGCAGCCTCGCCTCATTAACTCTGTCTGCTCTCCTGATTTCCTTCTGTCCCATGCTGCCCACACAACCCTTCTACTTTCCAACACCACTGAGTTCTTTCTTCTGCGTTTGTACCCTACAATATCCCTGTTCTCTTATGAGATGGAGACCTGCCGTGCTTTGGAGAACCTTCCCCCTTCTCAAGTGGCTGAATCCTTTTGTTTTCTCCTCCTCTTGCCCAACCACTGCTTGACAGGCTTCAAATTTTTAACTCTATTGACCGTGCACACTGTTCCACTTTTTCTTCTCTAAAAAATCTTCTAAGACTCTATTTGAAATGGGCCTATTCTGTTAGGAGAGTTTTTGACCTAGTGCTCTGCACAGAGCGTCTTTGACCTCTTTGTTCCTCAGAGTGTACACCACAGGGTTCAGTAGGGGGGTAATGACAGTGTAGGCCACTGATATCAGCTGATCCTGATCTCTGGTGTTTTATGAGTTGAGCTTGAAGTAGGCAATGGAGGCACAGCTGTAGTGGACAATAACTACAGTAATATGAGAAGCACAGGTGGCAAAGTCCTTTTTCCTGCCTTCAGCAGATGCAGTCTTGAGGATGGTAGAAATCATGAGGATGTAAGAGATGAAAACCAAGCCCTTGGGAATCAGGATCACCAGCACACTGATGGTCATAGTCAGGATTTCATTGACTGTGGTGTCAATGCAGGAGAGCTTCATCACAGGAGCACCTTTGGAATACAGAAAGGCAGCCTGAATACAGCTGACAGGTGTGTCATTGCTACAATTAGGCCAATGCTGCAGGCCTCCCACACCAGCTGCATACACACACTCTTGCTCGTGACGACTGAGTACCTCAAGGGGTTGCAGATGGCCACATAGCGGTCATACCCCATTGCTGTGAGCAGGAAGCAGTTGTTGATAGCCAAAGTAAGAAGAAAAACATTTGAGTGGCACAACCTGCCAAGGAAATGGGCTGACTCAGGCCTATGGGATTAAAGAGCATCCTTGGTATAATGACAAGGGTGTAGACAGTCTCTGGACCTGACAGCATGCTGAGGAAGAAGTACATAGGGGTGTGGAGGTGACGATCAATACTAATGATACTCACAATAATAACATTGCCTGCCAGGGTGAATATGTACAATGTAAGAAACACAACAAAGAGGGTGAGCTTGTGCTCACGGAAGCTGGAGAAACCTTGAAAAATAAACACCCTCACCAAAGAGTGATTCTCTTTCTTCATTAAATCACACATGATAGCTAAGAAAGAAAAAAATACTGTAAGGAAACTAGATGGATGATTTCTGTCAAATAATAGACTGGGAAAATTCCTGTGATTAATACACCTTAGGTCTCTGCTTTTTTATATTGACATTCATACTTATTTCTTTTAGGAGTAGAGAGTGGAGAAACGTTCTTTCCTCATTCAGAAGAAAGTACAAGGCTTTAAAAGTCAAATGTTGCAAACTAATTTCCTAGTTCTAGTATATGCTAACTTATCTTGGGCAAGGACTTATTTATAAGACCAGTTTTCTCATCTTTTGGATGTAAGAGATCATACAACATCATAGAATTGTTGATGGAAAAATCATATACTAATTATAATACTCATATTTGAATTTTAAAAACAACATTGAATAAATGTGAGTTCAGTGGTATCATGCAGAACTCCAAGCTCCACAAACTACCCGATAATTTTTGAGCCTCTAAAGTTTGAATAGAGCCTGTGTTACTATAATTTCCATACTGCATTTTCATTCCATTATTTTGACTCTGATTATATTGCTCCTCTCAACTCTGTTCTATGCTCTTCTTCCCTAGACACCACTCATTTTTCAAAGCCAAATAAAACCCATGTCCTCTAGAAAAATCTTTTTCTCCTTGTTTGAACCCGGGAGGTGGAGGTAGCAGTGAGCCAAGTTCGTGCCACAGACTCCAGCCTGGGCAGCAGAGGGAGACTCCATCTCAAAAAAAAAAAAAAAAAAAAAAAAAAAAAAAAAAAAAAAAAA